GTATCATAAATTGGATACATATCGACATTTATTTAATTTCTAAATCTAAATTATCATTTAACTCAGTTTCAGGCTATTCAAAAATTATTCATTATGTAATAAATTGGAGGTTCGTCCAGGATAAATTATAATATGTAACATAATTCATCACAATGTAGTATTACTATATACTGTGATGTGAATAACTATTTTTCTCTGTTTGGAAATTCATTAAAAAAAGTTAAGAAATCTGACTTTTGTAAAGGTAGAAAAAACACAAATAACCACTTTGAAACACATTGTAAAATTTCAAATATTGTTAAATATTAATAAAAGAACACAATATCGGGTATAGAAATTAGTCAAAAAACCACAATAAATGGAACGAACTGTCAGAGGTCTGATATCAGAGAAACTAGTTTCAATGTATTCGTGCATCCTCTTCAGTGTCATGTTGTTTTCTGAGACTGAAGAAAATGCATAAATGTGTCGAAATTAGTTTCTCTGATATCAGACTTCTGGCAGTTCGTTCCATTTACTGTAGTTTTTCACTAATTCTTAGATACTTTCTAATTACCAATTTTTACAAAATTAAATTATGTTACGTGTATATCTGCATTATTTTATGTAAAAACTGGATAAATTTTGTTTAAATACAAAAAATTATGTTTTATTATTGTCAAAAACAGATTAAATATGCTCATAAAAATATTCATACAATCATAACAACCAACCACAGAACCTAATTTGCTTTTTCTTTTTAATCAACGCAAAATTACATGCTATGTCAAAATTAATAGTTTTCAATATAAACTTTTACCATTAAGAAAAACATTCAGCACCTTTTTTTAAACTTGAGTAGAACCTCCTCATGGCATAGTTACCGGCTATACTAGCCACTAGTGCAACACTTTGAGCTCCGGTAAAGGCAAGTAGCTCACCGCATGCGAGTTGAGATGTCTTACTGCCCTCGCTCCTCTTCGAAGGTACTTGGAGAGATGCTAACAGTTTAGAAAAATTACAAAAACTAAAATGGTGAGAAACATTGATCTAATCCAACATGAATGTAAAGAATGCATGAAACAATAGAAATTAATCAAGAACACCAAAAATGTTCCAAAATAAGTTAAAATGTGCTATTTTAATCCTCCCTTATGCAGCAGTTGTTAATTCATTTTTTCCTTTTAACAGAGAGTTGGCTTTGATAGGTTTAACGTGGGTTCAATGTCTTGAATGCTGTCAGCATACAATTTATCAAATAGTTTATATGTGCGTACAGTTTTAAACTGGAAAATATTACAAACTGTATTAATGAATATAGAATAATACATTGTGTAGAGCACTAAAGCTTTTATACCTAACTTGTTTCCATAAAATGTATTAAGCTCACACTGCATTATCAAACCAATTCATGTATTAAAATGAGTTGACAACTACAGTTGAGATATATCAGCTTCTACCTGCCCAACTGACTATACTACCTTTTAGACATTCTCGTAAATGTTCTTCCAATGAAAGATAAAATATACAAAATAATGCAATTTGTTATATTACAATTAACATATCAATGTTTATTTGGAAAACACTGTTCTGAGATATATATATACACACTCACACACATTAAATACACACAGGATAATGTATCTACAGTTAGAACATATACTTTTGAGAAATTATTATTTAAGTACTGTGCAAAGTGCAGTACCTATTGACTTCTGTATATACATATACACAAAAAAATACATATATTTTATACAACAATCCAGTTAATAATATTACTGAATCATTGTAGGAGCTCACCAAAAAGTCATTCTAGTTTTTTTATACAGAAACTTTAAATAATTATAGCTTAACATTCGAAAAAAAAAGCTACAGCTCTGTAATCTTACCATCTAACCAGGACAAAATAATATGAAATGTATAAAATCAAATATCACATTATATTTCATTTGAACAGTTCGAACATACCTAATT